ACATATAGATATATGTATATGTATATGTATATGTGTATATATATATATATATATACATATGGATGTATGCCCGATTGGTGAGCGAAGTGTTGGAGGGGATTTAGGGTTGGAGGGTTATGGGGTTTTCGGCTTCAGGGATTAAGCTTTTGGGATTTGAGGGTTTCGGTTTGAAAGCTGCAATGCTGCAACTTCGGAGGTTTGGAGTTGTGTTGTTGTTCTGGGAGATGGCAGGTTGGGTAAGCGTCTTGTGCTTGAGGAATTCCAGTGAAGCTCAAGATTCCTATCGAATGTACAGTACAGTTGTTGTAATTTAGGGGCCATAAGACGGAGTTTGCAACTTCAGGAAAACCCTAAACCCTAAACCCTGTCTGTTTGTTAGAGTTTCGGGGGGCACTCGGGGACATCGGGCTCGAGTCCCAGACTGCAGGACGCAGTTCCGTCGTGGTCCTGTCTTTGCCCACTCTGCGAAGGTTCGAGGTGGACAGAATGTTTGGGTGGTAGTGTATTGGATGCAGCTTAACAAGGGCAACGAGACCGACCAGACACCCGAGCTCAGCCGATTTTGCACCTCTTCGCCCAGCCCTGGCGAATCTTCTCTGGAACGAGAGGCCCTACAAGGGGAGCTCGGAATCTTCAAAGAGGCGCTGGCAGAGGAGTTCGAGCATCAGCGGAGCCTGGAGCGCCAGCTGAGGGAGGCGGAGGACCCGTCCTTCTTGGGCTCATTAGCTTGAGGTGGAGAGACTCGAAGTTTGAAAAAAAATCCTCTCTTCCCTGAACCCTTAGGCCCTAACCGTAAACCCTAAACTCTAAACCCCATAATCGGTCCTCTCCCCGGAATAACCCTCGGCCCTGGGCCTAGAAGAGGGTCCTCTTCTAGGAATCACTGAAGCCTTGCCAGGATGAGCTGCTGAAATGCAGAGAGCTGCAGGAGGAGAAGCTGGCAAAGGAGCAAGAGAAGTGGAGGACCCTACTGAGCACCGCCGAAAGGAACTATGAGGAGGAATTGACAGATCTGGCAACTCAGCCTTCAGGATTCTCCAATTTTTCTGTTCTGATAAGTCGCAGCCCTATGGCAGCCGTTGAAAGCGCTTGTACCAGTTCGACCACATATACGCACAACTGCTAAGCATGAATAACAGTTCTTTAACTTTACCCCGCGAAGCATTCATCTTTGCGAAGGAAAACAGACTTCAGAATGCACTTGCCAACCTTAGCATGGAGCGCGACATTGGTCTGCAGAAGACTCTGACGCTGCAAAGCAAGTTGACAGAGATCCAGGAACCATCAATCGGCTGTTTAGTAGTTTAGGGTTTGACATTCCGTGGCATCTGGTTTTAGGGTTTAGTGTTCAGGGCCTTAGGATTTACAATTTAGGCATTCAGTGACTTGTGTATTCTTCTACCGACCGTAGCTGAAATCAGAGTTCCCTTTCCGAATGCGGGTCCATGCGAGGATGAGATGTGCAGCAAGGCGAAGAGGCACGAAGAAGAATTGGAGATGTGGAGAACCATGCTGGGCACTTCCGAAACGATGCATGAGGGCACGAAAGAGAAACTGAAAGATGCGGCAGCTTGACTTTGCTAGACTGGGCGAGCGTCTAGGGCCCTGCGTAACGATTTCCATGGTGCTGTAGTGTTTCACTTCGCGATCGGATTTCGTTTCTGTTCGCTGCTGTCTCCATGTTTCCTGCACCTGTGCTTTGCTTCAACCTGCCTTCGTGTGGCTTTAAACAGCATTAAGCAGCTACTAAACGACCCCTGAAGTCCTTGTCAGTCTTCTAGAGGCTCGATCGAACCTAGTTCGAGGTCTAAAGAGCTTGTGGTGCATCTAATCCTTGCTGCCCAGAGGTGCGTTTTTGTTCTGAACCCAGCTACTACGACTGAGTGGCACCGATAAGGTTCTAGCCTAAACCCTAAACCCTGAACCCTAAACCACGGGCAACTACAACTACCAAGCCCAAGTATCACCCTGCGTACGAAGCTCCTATACGGCTCCAAAAGAAAGGAGAAGAAGCTCCGGGCTGCTGAGTCGGCTCTTCAGAGAGAACGAGACAAGAAAGAAGCTGCCGAGAGAAAGCTACGGGATATTCAGGCCCACAGGTATTCTGCTGGTCATGCTGCCTGCTGGCAGTACGAGATGGATGGTCAGTGGTACCCGTTTTCACCAGAAGGAAATGATCAAATGCATCAGGCTTACTTGGCATACATCGGCGACATGCTTGAAGGCCGCTGGGCACACATTTTTGCTGGTGGTGTGGAGCGGGTGGTCGATTTTGCGGAGATGAAGCAGACGAACTTGCGCACACGGCAGACACGCTCGATTCGCGTCGTTACAGGAGTACCTCTACAGTGGGAGAGCGCTCCGGAAACCTTGCTGACACAAAGTGACGACCTGAGAGATATGTATGTTGAGGTCAAGGATGCATCCGTCGTGGAAGCCGTCCAGGACATTCTGAGGTCGTCAGGACATGCTTGGGACATGTCAACAGAATGCTCGCGCATGAAGAGCGCCACGGTGAAGTCCGTTCATCGGATTGAAAACTATCAGCTCTGGCAACGTTACCGAGCCAGGCTGAGTACCATGAGGGAAGACCACGCCAAGTATCATGTGTGTGTAGAGCCTGTAGCTCTGGATCTCGATGGTTTTTGCGGCGTCATGACTGACAGCCAAGCTGTGTTGGACTGCGGCGAGCCGTTAGCACGTGACGTGGATGAGAAGATACTGCTGCATGGAACCTCCTGGAGCAATGCCGATGCCATCGTGTTGCATGGTTTTGATCACAGGACTTGTACGCGTGGGATGTACGGTGATGGTGTCTACTTTGCAGATGCTGCATGCAAGAGCAATCAGTATGCGTGTGCACTTGACTGCAGACAGGGCCCTGCCTGCACGTGTGAGAGGACGGTCATCATCGCTCGTGTGGCATTGGGTGACGCTTACTGTACAATCCAAACCCGCCTCGGAGAGAGGACCCCTCCTAGCAGACCTGGCAACAACGGTATGCACGACTCGGTTGTTGTCTACCCTGGGAACATCACTCAATTCCTGTTTGCCCCGGTACATCACCAGGTACACCAGGAGTTTGTGATTTTCGACCGAGAACAGGCCTTCCCATCTTTTGTCGTGCAATACTTGCTATGAAACACAGCAAGCTTCGTGCACAGCCATAAAAAGGCAAGCTTTACCTGACAGCCCCTTCAGTCGGGATCTGTGCTTTTCCCATCGCTTCGGTGAGTTTCGAGTTCGGGCCGTTAGGGCTTGAAGTCCACAGTCTAAACACCTCGGCCCGAAACCCAAACTTCTTGACCGTGAACCCCTTGCTATGGGGGCCTGAACAATTACCTTTCATATTTTGGCGGTTCCTGTTTATATGTATAGAAATCATACCCCAAAGCCCTATCCTAATTATTAAGGCCTCTAAATTAGACATAATTGGCTTCCCTTCTGGTTGTTGATTTCGGGCTCAGCTTTGAAAGTTTCTGGCCACCCAACCCTGCTTGAAGGGTCATGGGACTTAGCACCTACGGTCACAAGTGCCTTAGCTATATAGTCATGATTAAATTGCGTATGCCCTCAATTAGGGTTCTTATAGCCTGACTTACCTCCTGATCCAACCAGTCATGGCCCCACCTCTGCGAGATTCCAAGACTGAGGACATGCTTCGGCGTGTTACCATGTAGCGTTCGGCGGTTCGGGGCGTAGGATTTCGGGCATAGGCCATCATAGGCCTATAGTAAGTATACGCAGGTCTTTCGAAGTAAGTGTTTTTGGTGGTTGGGTGGGGAGCGCTTCTTTCAATAATGTCCGGGGTTGAAATCTGTAGATGCTCTCAGGTAGCTCAGGTCTCCGGGCTTCTTCATCAACCTCTCCAGGCTTCGATACTCGAATATCGGGGCCATCTGGGTAGGTCTACCTATCCAGACCCAGAGACCCAAGCCCCCAAACACCACACCCTTACAAGCCAAGCTCCAAAACGACCCCAAACCCGAAACACAACTACCACAACTCCAAAGCCACCTGCCGAAGCCTTGAGCCCGGAACCCGAGCTTTGCAAAATGAGCCCTTGATTTTTTGGACCTTGCAATGAAAACCTTCACCGAAACGAAGCAAGAACGGCTCTAAAGCGAAACTCAAAGCCCTAGAGAAGCCTCCCAGAACCTAAGTTTGAAACTGGGTTCTAAGGTTCAGGCATCGCTACAGGAGCTTCCCCCTCAGCTTCTCTGCCATCTTTGGATTGGGTTTAGGAGGGACTTCACAGCTTCAGCAAGGGTCATAGGAAGCCGGATATCGGGTGTTCGTCCTTAAGGGGGGAAGGGGGGGGGGGGGCGTCCTCTTCGCAGCGCAAGCCTTATTTCGACAGAAAAGGCTGCTCTTGGGTTGCTACAGCGGCTATCAGAATACAGTCCTTGAGCATCTAAGTACATGGAGTTTTGAGGTATGGCTCGGTGCATCTGCGGGGCAGAGTTACTGCAAGGGTGACAATAAGGCCCACCTCAGGAATGCGAATGGTAAGACTCACAGCTTTCGTGTTGGCTAAGAGTTGGTTTGGAGTCTGGGTTCTGCCATGCAGTGTAGACCTGTTCAATAGAGCTAAGCCTGTCGAAATACCATGGGAAATGCCGAGTAAGTTGGGGAACCCTGGCATCCAAAATTGCCCGGCTGGAAAAGTTCTGCCCTTAAAAACCATCACCTACTACCGGCTACCGCCAGCAATACAAACAGCTTGCGGGCCGTGATGCGACCACCTCCGACTCTTCCATCATCGAGCCTCCAAACCTTAAACTCCCAAACCCTCCAACCCTAACATCCCCAATCCCCCAACCCTCAAGCCCCGAACCGCTAAAGCCTTACAACTCCCAAGCCCAAGACCCCTATACCCCGAAACCCCCAAACCTCAAAACCAAAGAGCCCTCCCGAAGAGCCCCCCCAACCCCCAGACAGAAAGCACAAAGCTCTGAAGCAATCTGCCAAGCAAAGCCATCTCTGAAGCTTTAACAGTAACATCCCGGAGATGAACTCGGACGTCATTAAAAAATTAGGGGCTCCCAGAAGGAGGGTTCCGTTTAGAGGCTGTTATACCGAGGGTTCGAAAAGATTACGCTCTTGAGAACCCGGACTCTGCCAGCCCTTGAATGCCACATTGTAAAATAGGGACCTTATAATAATTAGAAGAGGGTGTTGGAGGATATTATACTATAAAAATGTTAGTAAGAATAAGAATAGGTGTTGGGGTATATTTATACTATATAATTATGATAAGGAACCCCCCCCCAAAAAAAAAAAATTGTATGGGTAAGTATACAGGCCCCTAGAGTCAACCGCGCACGCCTCTCTTGCGCTGCCATGCGCCGTGCTGCTGCTGCAGTGCGCGTCGAGGCTCACGTTTCTCCAGGTCTTCAGGGGCCCGGTCTCCGGTGATTCTACATAAAGTAGGGGCCCTAAGACTTGCAAAAGGGTTTTGGGGGTTCCTCGTTATATGTATAGTATTATGGACCCCAAAACCCTATCTAATTGTTATTAAGGCACCTATATTAAAGAGGGGATTTGGGTTGTGGGGAGACTAGACATGATAAAGCGCTACATAACATGAGCCGTAGGGCCAGCCTGATGGCAAGCTTCAGCATTCTTGCTTTGTGCGATTGCAGCCCTAAAGTCCCAAACACCAAACCCCTGAACCTTGAAGCGTAAACCGAACATAGTAGCAACATTTACGGCTCAAACATGGTTTTGCGGCTTGAGCCCCAAGGTTCAAACAGGAACTCCCTGGACCCTAAGGCCTAAACCCCGAACCCCTAAATCCCAGACTAAACCCTGAGCCCCAACACATCCCCAAACCCTAAGCCGTAAGTGCTTTGAAGAGGCCCTGCATCTCTTCCTGCTGGGAGCTTCGACGGCGCTTCCCACCACGCAGCTTCCAAAGCTGCAAGCCGCGCCTTGGCGACAAACCCGACAAAGATGCTTCAGGGTTTCGGGTTTACAGGGTTTAGGGTTTGGGTTGAGGGCCTAAGTTTAGGGCCTAAGGCTAGCGTGCAGGGTTTAGGGTTTGGGGATTCGGGATTTAGGAATTTGGGAGTCTTTGAGTCAGGGTTTAGGGATCCACACCTGCAGAATGGCGGGTGTACGTCCAAGTGTTACGGGGGCAGGGTCTGGGGTCTTGGGACTTAGGTTTGGGATTCAAGGGTTAAGAGTTTAGGGAGTTGAGGGTCAAGAAGTGCTGCATGTCAGCACATCTTCAAGAGGCCAAGTATCCAGAAGCACAGACCAAGGCGGCACACAGATTTTCCAACTTATCCTAAACGTTGAACCGTGAATGTTGCTGAACCAGGAAGTCTTTCATGAACCCTATGTCGTTGCTGGCGCGCTGGTCAGCGTGAAGGGGCTCCTGAACACGGTGATTGCACCCTATGTGGGTGCCGCTTGGCAGAGAAGCGCCTACAAAGCACAATTGGCGTAATATCATGGCCTGAAATCTAACGGAGGAGTCGGGCTACCCTAAACGTCACTGGGACAGCAAAGGGAGCCGGGGCAAGGTTGATAGCCGCTGCCGAAATAAAACAACTCTGGACTTTCGCAGTGCTGTCCATGTTTAAAGCCAACTTCTTCGTCCAGAGCTCCCTACACCCTTGCCCACCGTTGCCACAACCTGCAGACTTGCCAAGCGGCAGGCGAGCTTAAAGTTCATGGCTTCAGGACGGACTTGCGTAGACCTTGCTTGGATCCTTCAGAAGAGATCCTGACAAATTTGTCGAGAGTTGCATGTACTTCCATCAGGATTGATGCAAGGTCCTGCAAAGTCATGTTTTCACGCACGTAGTGTAATGTAGAAGTCTCAACTCATTACGGCTCCGATATATAGGTGGACTCCCATGCCGCACCTCCGAAGCCTAGAGAGCTATCAGGCCTACGTCGACCAGCGTGGTCGTCACCGCCTGTGTTTGATGTTCTGGCTCGGGGTGCTTGCCGTCCCCTTTCTGGCGCACTCCGGCAGAATTCATGGGCCTTCCTTAAATTGGGGGTTTAAGAGTTATTTGGGTTTACGTAGAGTTTCAGGGTTCAGGGTAGGGCTGATTTTGGGACGAGGGATGTCCGTGATTTCTGGATGTTGGACTAGCGGAGTACGAGGTTTGAGGGCGACTCACAGAGTGGATTGTTAGCCCCGTCAAACTCACTCAAGTGTGTTCGACAGGGTTGAGCGCAGGCCTTCAGCTTTTGTAGGCTCCGCATTTCGACCCTGACATGTATGTATTAGTGACATTTCACGGGGGAAAGGTGGTTCACGTTCACTTAATTTGCCGCCCGCGTTCCATTGTGATCTTGTGGGACACACAGTGAGACGGCCAGGGTTGGCTCAAGGCCCTACACCCCTTTTTCCAAGGTGGTGGAGCATTTGGGGTGAGTGTCGGCAATTCGGAGCAATAGAAGACGATTGTGCCAAAACCCCTTCTGTTGTGGTTTGTCACATTGAGACCCGAATGGCATGTTAGTTACGGATCACGGCCGGAAGATCCCCTTCAAGCCCAAACTGAAGAGTAGATCTCCTTGCACTCCTAAACTCTGTGTTGAGGGGCTAAGGCCCCATTGTAGTCCTGATATACCTGTAGTAGAATATGTCTGTGCACTCCCATGATCAATCCCATAATTTGCACCCGGCGCATGGCTGACGTGGTGTGGAAGCTTAGCAGGATGCCATCTGACACCTCGAATGCTATGCGATGTTTGGGATGTGAATGTTGCCAGTATGCTGCCTAATTCAAGCAGCAATGGATGCAACTGAAGATTCAAGCGCCGCTATTTATTGTCACGTTGCAGAGAAGGCGACAAGAAGCTTTCTTGTGCTGCTGCTAATCGTGATGTTGATTGTCATTGATTGTGAAGGTCAAGATGACAAGGCTCGCAGTGATCGTTAGAGCATGAAGAAGACGAAGAATGATAACAATAATGTGGAGAATTCTGCTTCTACTTGCAATAATGATAGCAATAATAAGAAGATGGTAATGATTCTGATCTGTTGCTTGTGATGACGGTGATGATGATAATGATGATGATAATGATGATGTTAATGGTGATGTTCATGATCTGATGATGAGACTGATCATCATCACCACCGTCATGGTGGGCATGATGTGGACGATGATGTTGTGGCGATGATGTGCTGGTGTTGCTGCTGTTGGAGAAGGACAAGTTGAATGATGCTGGTGATGCTGTTGGTGGCACCTCGAGCCGAGGATCCTGGCAACGGCGGATGCATCCACTGAGGTGCAGGTGCGACTGCGCTCCAATCCGTTTGAACCTCAAATGGGTGTTGTTCTGAGCTCCTTAGTCCTTTGGGGTGCTTAAGACGAAAACGTCCAATGCAATTAGCTGTTGTGGCATGTATGTACCCTCCTGTGTTCATCCGGAAGAAGGTGCATTGTCTTGGTGTTCCGCATCGTGTCAGTCTGAAAGATTGAATGCTGGTGTCGTGGTGGTGTTGAGTTCCCTGTTTGCTAATCTGCTTTCCTTCGAAGTTCTCAGCGTCTGACACGAATCTGTCCGTAGGCCACGGTGGACTGCAGTGGCACCACTCCATAAGCCTCCGAGGATTCAAGGTCGAAGACCCTCCACTACTCATAACTGGCCCATAACCCAAATCTTAGATCTGCTGGGCAACTTCACGCAACCCTGTGGCTGTCTTACATCCTGTGAAGAACACGAGAACCCAGAACCTTCAACTCCTTGAACCCTACACCTGCAAAGAGCCTTTCCACCCCTGTGCCGCAAGCTGCACACTTCAGCTTTGGGCGTTCCTGGCCCTGGATGCCGCGCTGGGCCTTGCCGGGCCTGCATCGGCGCTCCTAAGCGAGATACCTGCTGGCTTCTATATTGTATTGCAATTGATGTAACAAGATGTGGCTGGCGTCATCATGAGCGGCATGTGTGTGTGTGTGTGCGTGTGTTGTGTGTTTGTTTGTGTGTGTGTGTGTGTTTGTGTTTGTGTGCGTGCTTTTGTGCGTGTGACTGGGTTCGGCTGGATCTGCTCAGAGTGGCGAGTGCATGCCATCAGTGTGCTCATGTGTACAATTACAAGCCTTTGTGTTCCGAGGCCTGGTCGAGAAGTCCCCACACCATCATCTATCCATGTTAGTCATCACCATGATTTTCATCGACCAAGCATGTTGCACGACTCGGAGTTAGTCTGACGGCACATTAATGGCACCACCCCGTACACTTGATCTGAAGCCCTGAGGCCCCAAACTCGTAGACAAAAACCATAATACTGCTTCTGAGGCCCGGAAAAATCGATCTGAGGCTGTGCTTTTCTCGGGCTGGGCGTTGCCTGAGCGGCCCTCGTCTGACGGAAGGCACGGCACGATAGCCAGAGATTCACAAGCAACTTTGCAGGGGCTTGGGTGAAAGCGGCTCCAAAACATGTAGATACGTGCATGCAAAAATATGTGTCTATATGTATATGTTCTATGGTTTCATACACACATACATATATCTATATATATATATGCTTATTTATTTATTTATACATATATACATATATACATATATACATATATATACATATATATATATACATATATACATATATATATATATTTATTTATATATACATATATATATACATATATATATATACATATATATATATGTATATATATATATGTATACTTTTACAAATATATATGCAATATTTATATAGCGTCATTAATTAGTTTATCAACTCATATATCTCTATATATATATATATAGATAGGGCTATGGGGGAATGGGGAAGGTTTGCAGAATACTGCTGTTTCAGAACCCTATGCTAAAGATTTTTCGGGTTTCGGTTCCCAGGACCTTGTCCCAGCTGTGCAGTCTCCTATGTGGGGTCTTCACCTTTCGCACATCTTCTGGGAACGGTGGTGTTTCGTTGCCTGGGCTTGTTTGACATTGGGGCTTGTCGCTTGTCGTTCATAGAGATTTTTTGCCTTTTGTGGGGTTCTGCTGCGATGCTTCAGTACTGACTTCTCATTCGAATCAACAGGCATCCCGGGCTACCCAGCCTCGGGCTGTGGATCAGCGCGCTGAAAGCGCAGATCATGAGATGGCCTTGGAGTCTGAGTGCCGTACGGGGTGAAGCGCCCGGCGTAGGAGTCTCATCAGTAAGGCTCCACTCATATTGTGTCGGGTTTGCGACACTTTATTCCTGGGCTTGTGGACCTGCATGTTCGGGTTTTGGGGACTTTATCTTATGTATTGCGGTTTGGCCCCCCACAAAAACCATGCAATGTCGATAGAGTAGTTTGGCTCCTTGCACCGTGCAGTCGTCAGACTCTCAGTTCTCCCGTCCAATCTCATGTCACGGCTCTGTCGGCATCGGACATCCAGGATCAAGCAGAAGTTCGCCGATCATGATCCTTCCAGATTTACGGGGGGTGTAGGAGAGGGCTGTAGTGCGAACCGTCTGTAGGACAGGAAGTCATTCTCTGTAACATTCTCCATTTCCGATCATTGCATGATGATTCAATGATGCAGGTCCTGGAAAGATTTGAGGATGTATCTCTCTCCTTGCCAGCAAGCCCGAAGGCTATTCCGTGCTGAACTTCGCGCTGAGCAGCGGCGTGGGAGTAGGCGCTGGGGGGCATTGGAGCGCTGTAGGGCTCTAGGCTAGACACATGGGTTGACATTATGTTTCAATGGGCTGGCTTCCTTGTAGGACTTGTGACTTGTGGCAGAGTGGAACTAGAACATGTTTCGTGAAGAAGCACGCCTTGAAGAGAGAAGTACATCCAACACTGACACAAACCCGTCGATTTCCGAAATATTCCTTCGCGCCCGTAAAGCATTTGGATGGGGTCCTGGGTGATAACCAGCGCATCAGTCGCTGAAGCCATCGCAGCGGTCGGAACAGTATGTGAGCATTCTCTTATCGTCTTCAAGAAGTCAAGCCACAACCTACCCCAAAACACTGCACCAAGTATTAAGGCCCCGACAATACTCTGCGCAGGTTGGTCTCGCCCATCCACCTGAACACATGCCTTCTCTGCGCAGTCTTCGAAAGAATACATCGTGGGAGCTGGATCCTCTGATAAGGCGACTGATGCATTCTCTAGCACGGAGACATCGCTGAAGCACTTGATTCATAGTGTATTTGCATGTTTACGGCTCATGGTGTGCAAGGAGGCCTATGCTTTTTTCTCCGAGTTCCTGAAGACGACACCTCTATACTGTCTACAGTCTAACAATCCATCGAAACCGCAGTCTAACTATTTAGGCCACCATATTTTTCGAAGTGCTGGGGCCGTTGCTTTGCAGGTGCTGCCCTGGGTGTGCTTGGCAACTTCACCACGGTAGGCGAGCACCTCGGCTGTGTATGGATTTAAAGAGAGCGGCCTTTGGGGGATCCTGTCCTGGGACTCTGCATTGTGATGCAATCGTGGCTCAGACCCTTCGAACAGTCGCTGAAGAGGGTGAGGGTTGGATAGTCTCATCCCGAAGCTTCAGAACTTGGAAGTAACCGAGGGTCATCAACGGTTGTCGCAATCCCAACTGTCTCTGCTTCTAGCCCAGTTCCACACCCCAACTTTCCACGATCCAGGTCTTTAGGTTCAAGCTCCTTCACTGTCGCCCAGAGCCAACGAAGCTTCCGAGAACACACAGTAGTTACGGATACAAACTATAATAGCTCTCACCTGTAAGCTTGAAGCGCCCCTAAAGAATCCTGATAACGAACAAATGACGAAAAAGCCTTAGAGAAGCTTAGCCTGCTCTAAGTATTTAGTATTGAGGCCCCGATGTTAAGCCCGACACCCCGAACCCTTTCCTGATCATGGAGGCCCCGGTACAAAACCCTCTGCAAATCGGTCTCCGAACTATCAAGGCCCCTATGCATTGAGCCCCCCCCCCACCCCGGCCGCGCCCTCTGCGATCTTTGTCACTCTTGGCAAGGTGTGGTCTGGTCCTGACTTCGGTGAACACTTTGCTGGCACTCCTGTCGCCTCTAGTTCGATGTCGGAGAAAGTTGAGTTAGTTCTTATGGATGTATGGAGTTTCAAGTTTTAGGGTCTGATGTCGGGTTTGGTTTCTAGTATATGTCTATGTATACTTGGGATGTCCTGTGGGTTTAGACTTTTTTAGTGCGGGCCTTCACTCTGAATGCTGAACCGGCTCAAGGCCCAACTCCAACTGCACTGAGTTGCTCCCTGAACCCGACTTTGAGACAATTACCATAACCTACTGTTCTAGGACCCCTTAGGTCTCTCCAAGTGTTCTTCTAACGTACGCTATAACCACAACCTGCCCAAAGTAGGTTATGACAGTAGGTGAAGGTACAGTCTATAGAACATGAAGACTCAAACTCTAAACCCTAAACTTTTCCTAGAATCCGAGGCCACAGGACACTTCCGTCAATCGGGAGGAGAGCTCCGTTCCGCGCCAGGTAGCTTCAGGGGTAAGGGGACTCCGACTAGGCTTGCCGGTAAGCAAACTCTAATGCCCTAAGCCCAACACCCCGAAGGTCCTATAGTCCCTGAAGTACCAACCCTGAACCCTAAACCCTCAAACCGAAGGGCTCTAAGCTCTCAAGGCCTTGAGCCCCATGTCTTCCATCCTCAGCGCCATCAGCAATACGCTTCAAGATCCCCGAAGAGCGGCTCCCGACAGACTCTCGACTCCGCCGAACCCCAACCCAGGCACCGAATCAGGTTTCCCTGAGTCTATGTAGCGCGTAAGTGATCCCCAAGCCCTCCGAGCCTCAAGCCGTAAAGGCGACGACACATGAGGGTTGGACATTTACGGAATCGGGTTGAGGGTGAGAGTTTGCCACAGGTAGGAAATACCCCTCAGTTCCGTGGCCAGGTGATGTCTCTCTGGAGCAACAGTGTTTTGAAGCTGCTGGCTGCGGTGGTGTTTCTGGACTTCCTGGCTGAGCAGATGAGACCCGACGTATTGGTTAGGGCATTCCGGTTTGGGGGTTATAGCTAAAAGCCCCTAAACCCCAACAAGGTTTTGGGTTGAGGGTTGGGGGGACCAAGCTTGAGGAGGGAATCTGGCCAGCTCCGTGAAGCGTGCTTAGGCTGGTTTCCTTGCTGCTCCTCTATCTGGAAGCTCAGTTCCACCTGAGCAGTGTGCCCCTCGGTGCCTGACATAAGGAGCTTTCCACAGTGCTCAGTTGAGATTTTGTGCAATGGCAATAGCCCATAAGCTGAGCCCTTGTTCCCGGATCACGTCGTAGTGCTGCTCATGCAAGCCTCTCCCCTGACAGAGTTAGATCAAGCTCACTTGCGCCCAGTCCTGATGACACTGTTCGGGCTTGGGTTCTGTAGGGCAAGGATCCGGGGTTGATTAGGGCATGAACAAGGAAAGCCACACTCGCAACAACGAGTTCCAAACCCTAGGCTACGCCTTCAGCCCGAATGTCCCGAACACCTACACCTAGCCCTCAAAACGGAAGTGGATGGAACCCTCGACTCCTCAGAAATCCAAAGCAAAAGTTGAGTGTTCAAGCGCCTGTTCCCCGCTGTGGGACTGAAACCCTCAACCCTGCATCTTACTGTCAACCCTAAATCTTAGCCGACTGCAAAAAGGAGGCAGTAGAGAGCCAAGGCAGCTCGCGTGCCAGCTGGGCCTTGTCGGCTTGGCCGCCTCGGTGTCGCTGCTTCTCGTGGCCCCTTGGGCTCTATGGGGGTTTCTTTTTTTGAGGTGTTTATGGTGGGAATCGGGAGGAGGGGGAGGGGGGTCGTGGTGTGTTGCTTGAGGACATGTTACATGGAGTTGGTTTCGCTAGTTCATAGCATGATAGTTTTGAAGACGTTTCATGATTCTAACCTCCGCGCCTCAGAATTTTGGCGTGTAGCCTCTTTTCAAGGCTGTTGGTCTGGCATTAGTTGTCTGCATTTATTGTTGTGGATCAGATTGCCTTTAGGTCGACGGCGAAACGATACCCATCAACCCTGACCGTTGAAGCTTTCAATCTTTCGAACCGAATCCCCCTCAGACCAGAGACGATCCTTGGCCCTTGACCTCAACTCAGGTTCCTTATCTCCAACCACGCCTCGGTGATCTGCTGCTCATGCAAGTGGGAATGGCCACCCGCTTGAATCAACGTTGCCAGCAGGTATTGGTGGTGTTCAGGGCTCAGGGAAAGCAGCAACTTGAGAAGCCAAGACCCGTTTCACTTTTACTTGTAGCTCGGAGCCCTCAAAATCTGTGCTCCTTTACCTTTGAACCCTTTTCAGCCCGAAAGCCTTTTTGCCATCTTCGAGTCTCCAACTCTGAGGTCGCCAATGTGGTGTCGGTAGCCCTGTTTGGTGTCATTACCGCACCGTGGCAGGCCGGGGCGGGGCGAGCTGGAAGGCTCAAGGGGTCTTGAAGTGGGCCAGGGTTTCGAAGTCCTGAGGCCACCACCCCCGATCCAGACATTTTTTCTGTTTCTGTGCTTGAGGATGGGGTGAAGGTAGGGCGGGGGAGAGGCAAGCAGCTGTGGACTTGAGTCTAAGGTATAGGAGCTTTTCAGAACCCATTTCGTGGGCAGGAGGACCTGAACATACGGAATGATGATGCGATGCTTTAATTTCCGCGTGAAGTCCTCTTCGCATTTTGCAATTCTGAACAAAGCTTGTGTTTGACGGGTCTGACCCCTAGACCCGAAACCCAAGGTAGTTTGCAGACTGTGCATCTTGAGAATCAGAGCCCAGCGTTCGATTGCGCAGTTTCCACCGTAGACCTGGAGCCTTGTAAATCCGAAAATCCTGCACCTGAATGCAAATACCCTCCAAGCTTGAACCTTTTCTTAATCCCCTGGGTGTCAAGTTGCTGCCCAGAAGAAGAGTTGTGATTGACAGGCCTTCCTGCCTCCTCTCGGCTGTATTCTCAGCTTTGCTGCCTCTTGGTTTCGGAAACTCAAAGGGACCTTTGTTGGGTTGCTTTAAGGGTGATCAGGGGTGCTTGAAAAGTTCCTCTGCGGGTGTTGCGAGGGCTCCTCTCAGGGGGCTTCTCGAGGCTTTAGAACCCTAAAGCCCACTTAAGGACTGAACTCGAGGTTTTTCCAACGGCCAACGCCATAGCCGCCGCGTCGGTTCCGCGCTGCGGAGCCATGGCCCAGGACGGGGAGAGTCTCTAAGCCTGCCCCAGAAGCCCTGTTGCCGCTGCCGATATTCTCTACAAGGATGGCTTATACCAAAGTCCCAACGTATATGATCTACTATAATGCTTTATTATATATATATATTGTTTCAAACATACGCTAGGACTTCCATCCCTCAAACTCTATACCCATAGGTTCCTTAGCAGATCCTTTTTGTGGTTGATATTTAGGACCCTACAAAGTAATCCCAAAAAGGAACTACGAAGTCCTATCGACCCCAAAACCCTAGGGGCGCTCCCCCCAGGGCGTTGTTTCCGGCGCGCGAACCCTGGCAGAAGGCTTGGCCCCTGCCGCTCATCCGAAGGCTTTCAGGGCCCAGGGGTCTCCTGAGACACAGACTGACCTGTGGTAGGGTTTAGGATTTAAGGTTTAGGGTTTAGGGTTGAGGGTTTAGGTTGATGATATAAGTCCTTCATTACCCTTCTGGACTCCTAAACTATGGGAGTTATGGTATGTTCCTTATTGTGGGTAATGCAGGAGTTTTATCATCAACCGTAGGGCCGTAGGGGTGAGATTCTCGGCAAAGACAACGAGTGCAAGATTAGTGGGTTCCGGTGTTGGGGCTAAGTCTTGTTGTTGTTCGGGGCCTGTCTGGCTAGGACATTCAAACTAGTTACAGTACGAATTGTGATTCGCGTTGGCCAGGAGGCCTTTGTGCTAGAATATTACCCCCCCTTTATAGCGATTCTGAGAGCCGACATTCCTAAAATCAACGAAACCAACAAACCTTTCCCTCTGAGCCCCTCGTACTCTAAACCGGAAAAAAAGAGCCAGTAGCGCCTGAGTGTTGCAGTAATGGACTGCCTACCTTAAACCCTAAAGCCCTAAACCCTAACTGAAGTGGAAGACCCGATCCAGAATCCTCTTCAAGTCCCGAAGCCTCCAACCCCCAAACCCTAGCCCGAAGCGGGCCACAGCGGGATCTCCGGAAGCTCCCGAAATCTGGGTTTAGGGTTTAGGGTAGCTCAACGCTTCCATCCTTCGAGCGTGATTCTCCAGAGCCTGCAGTTCTTAGGTGATTTTTGGGGCGCTCTTCCAGGTGGGCGATTGCAGGGAGTCCGAGCGTTGTTGAAGCGAGGTCTCGAGGATTGTCGGAGTTTTTGGCTTAATGGGAGAACCTGGGGTTGCAGCCGTAGGTTGATTGCGACTCTAGCTTTTCAGGAAATCGAGGTAGCATGTAGCCTTTCAAGAAATCAAGGTACCATGCTAAACGGTAATAGAAAGACTGTACCTTGTTCGTAGTGCACGTAAGCGCAGCAGGCTTTTTCAGCCGCCTGATTGCGGCGTTTCGTGCAATTTCTGCATATGTGACTATGGTCCGCAAATGTCAGTGACCTCATTGATCTAAGTTCAGGGGCCAACTTAGGCAGGGATAGACGTACTGCGGGGATAGAAGCTAGTACTTCGTGGGAATTTTTCATGGTTCACCAAAACTTCTGATTTAGGAGTTCAACACCGCTGCGTTTAACAGCATGATCATGACATGTACTTCACTCATCGGTCGTGTCCTGAGTTTCTTAAACCTGGGGTTTGAATATCTAGTGTGTACACATATGCCAGCTCAGAAGATCAATGTAAGTAAGGGTGTACATTTACGTCTGCACCTCACACTGTGAGCGTCTCAGCCTTCGAGCCTCCTCAACAGAATGCATACCAGCTACGACGCCCAACTTAACTGGTTGGGTCTTGGAGATTCCATGGAGGTGGCTGGGGTTTAGGACCCTAATGAGGCCGGCTAACAGCTGTATGTGCCTCCAGCTACACCCCGGACAACCCCGCAAACCCTACCGAGCCCTTTCAAGGCATTGATTCAGCCCTTGCCTTCTTTCAAGCCCATGCAACTACACCACTACAGCAAGCCCCTGAAACCCTAGCACCTCCGAAAGACCTCAATCTCAATTTCCTGAAACGATAAATCCATGCTTAAAATCTTAAAATTCCTAAACCCTAAACCCTAAACCCTAGCTCCTTTGCTTTTTGGTGGAGGCCGCTTCAAAGAGTTCCTTCCCCGGCTGGCCCTTCCTGGTTGCGGCGGGCTGCGTGGCTGTGGGGCTGGTCGTCTCCTTCTACCTCCCAAAGCAGGCCCAGCAGGGTTCGCTGCTTTCTTCAATTCGTGTTTAGGCTCGAAGGGCACTGGTAGTTCAGGTCCGGGCATCAAGTTTTTCCAGGCGCAGGTCCCTGGTGTTTCGGGTTGAGAAGGTAAAAGGGAGCCGTCGAGTCACAGCCCGTCGGAGCGTGATATGTCTGGGTCTCCTGGAAGTCGGGGTCCTTTATTAGGGGGCGTCCCTATACACCTGCTTTTCACTGGAGGCGGGCAATGAGCAAGGCGGCGGCACAGCTCTGCACGACCGGGTGCTTCTTGATCAGGCCGAGCGCTTTGGAGGTTTCTTCTGCAGTTGGCAAAGCGGTGGTTTTCCCGGATCCGCACAACCTTAAACCCACAAAGCCCTCGAACTCGAAGAGGCTTGTCATCTTCAGCAGCGTCCCATGGGTCGCTTGTGTCTTGCCTGCTTCCTGGGATGCTGGCGTTCATTGCAATGTCTTCTTGCTCCGGGGTTGCGAGAATAGAATATTGAAAGGGTTACTACAAGGCTTTGGCAGGGCTACTATGTATTAATATAGCTTCGGGGAGCTATGGCAGAAAGCTTTGCAGGCGGTTCTATGAAGGGCTTCTGGAATAATTATGGCATGTCAGGAGGAGTGATCGGCTGAAGGCTCCGCGGCGAATACGTTCCCCATGTTCATGCTTTCAAGCCTACACACTCGAAGAAACCCGTCAGGACAAGAAAACTGTTGAGGCCACTGCGAAAGTCCTACTTCGCCCTGCACCTGATTGTAGGCGTTAGGCTCTGAACCTCCTAAACCCTCAAAGGCTCTGAACTAGTCGTGCGGAGCTCTAAACCAGCCCTCCAAACGCAAGCCCACCAATTGTAGTATCCCATAGAAGCCGCTTTGTGGTCATTAGCCTCTGCGGAAACCCTACGCCTTCCACCCTAAGCTCGAGGCTTCCTTCCTGGCTCCCCGGTGGCCTCCGTCCTCGGAGCTCCCGCGGCCGACAGCCCTGGACGCGGCCCCGCGGCCCACGGCGCTGGCGCGCCGAGCGCGGTGAGAGGGCCAGGGCTGGGCGGGTGGTTTAGCGCGGCTTTCACGGACTCCTAGCTCCGAGAATCGGACTGAAGGCCTTGGGCACAAAAATGGCTTATGGCGTGACTTCTGATGGCTTTACACATTCCATTGGAATGGCAAGGCACGTGCGCATGTTGGCCAGGCTCCTGCTCCGTATTGTGCAAACTTTGAGTTTATGAAAACAGGATGTGAATGTGTTCTCTATTTCGTGAATGTGTGCGGTAGAGAGGAGAAACACCACAAAAAAATATAGACTTCTTGGTTCCTTGAAGTCGGCTGTGTATGCAAAGCCACAGCTTCGACACCCAGGGTTTCCAGAGTTTTGGCCCAAAGTTCCGGCCGCGAGGTTCTAGGCTCCGGGTTTGGGGCTGTGGGGTGTCGGAATCGGTGTTTTTTTCGGATCTAATGTCAGAGGAATGCAAACTAAGACTTCTGCGGCTTTGACTATGGTCTGAGAATGAATGAACATAATTCAGCATTAAATCGAACCTAAAAGGCCATGAAGGCCTAAAGGTTTCAGTACTTCTCGCGGATCTGTTCAGCGACTCAGTGTACCGATCTCACACCTTGGCTCTCTGTCTTACAAGAGGCCGATTCGGGGACATCTTCCCTCGACCCCGGGCTCGACCTCTTGCGATTTGAAGCTGCGCGACCCGGTATAGCCTTGTAACATGCAGCTCCTTCGGTCATATCGATGCAAAGGTTTGTATCGAGACTAAACCCCAGGCCCCTGAACCGTAAACCCTACAGTCCAGAAGCCCTAAATCCTGACCTTCTTATTACTAAGTTTACATATAGTAAGACAAGGGAAAGCCCAGAGACAGAGTCGCTCAGGTCTGAGCGAGCCTACGTCTGGGATATGACCCAGACTGGCACTCAGCCAAAGGGGGCTATATTGGGAACATGTGATATGGATCAGAAGCCATAACAATTGGTGCTAGTGTTCCTGAGGGTTCTGCATCAGTCGTTCTTGATTAACTCAGGCCTCGTTTATGGTTGAGGGTTTTGCGGCTACAGGTGTGCACTTGGGAGTCGGACTGTTTTCGGTTGATGGGACAGGTCTGTTGAACATGGCAGGGCTTAGTTGTGGGGTGTGGCGTCTCCGGATGTTCTCAATGTAAGTGAACAACGTGTTCAAGCTCGTACTGCTCGAACTTGCGTTGTCACTGCTCCTTCGCCAGCTTCCGTACATCTGGCTTGAGGCCCTTAGATCCCGAGCCCACCTGAACCCTGAATCTGAGCCTCGACTGCTGGCTGAAGATTCGCTTTGCTATGTATAGGTGAATTTTTGCTCGCATGTATGCATGCACATGTACGTGTGGGCATATGTCAATCTGTAGTTGTACAGACATGGGTGAAGGTGGTTCTATGGCCCCATGTGCTGCAACTGCCTCCAATTCACAGACACAAATCAAATCATAAATGTCGACATGCACACATATTGTCTATACGCAGGTGGGTCTCTATGTATGTACGTATGTACGTTCTTCTCTTTATCTATGTATGTATGTCTGTCTGAATGTATGCATATATGGATTTTATTATGTATGGAATGTATCTGCTCGCCATTTTAATTTTGTACGTACATGAAGCTTAAACTCCGGACTCCATGAAGTTATCAACGACAGTGAAGGCAATATCTTCAGCCTTGTGCGCACCTCGACGGCCGCATAGCAGTCGACACCCGAGCTTCTCCCGAACCTCTTGAATCCGCTAGGACTAGGATTGACGTAAAGGCGTTCAAAGGCTTTACGGGAATGGATGGTGTCGTTAACTGTTGGCATTCGTCTCTATAGTGTCGCTAGTGGATACAGGTGCAACACTTCACTGGTTCCAGGGCTTTGCGGATGTGCCGTTAGAGTTCCGAGATGTTTCGAGTGTGACGAAGGGTTAAGACTAAGAGGCAGGTGAAGTTCATACGTCTGTGCACATTTCAGTGGGTTTAGCACTACTTTAACCTGGGTGCTGCATGCGCAGGGCGGCTTGTCGTGTCATTATGTCTTAAGTAGGATTGTGCGATGCAAATTCGTTTCTCACGAAGATTGCTACAAGTTCTCGTGTGCCCATGTTGGATTTGTCGTCTTCGTGGGGGGTGTTGGAACTTTGCTTGGGGCTCTCCTGGCATGTGGTATGACGGCGAGTTTAAGGCTCACGGTTTGGGGCGTCGGGGCGTCGGGTTCTGGGGTTGAAGGGTATCATGACGTGGGGCCTGTAGGGCTCCCGTGATCGGGATTCTGGTACGGGACAGGCTTGTCGGAAAGAACATCAAGCCCCAAACGTGTGACCCGCTGAACCTGCGCACTTGTGACATCTGGCAGCTTTCCCTTGCTTGGGTTTTTGCTTTTCGGAACCGTGGGAGGCGACCCAGCGACTTCAACCAAAGGTTCTTACATGCGCATGTCTTCATCAATCCGAAGCTCCGGTCAGAGCTTATGATGTTGCGGCGTGATCGTCTTATTCCGAAGGTTCTCGCAAGCAGGGCCTGCCACAGTTCTGAAGTCTCAACGCACTTGTAAGCCCGTCTGGCTCGAGCTAGAGCTTATCGAGGGCCAGGGGTGGACGAGCTCGATGTCTTTCAGAGAACATGTAAGCCTTGCAACCCACACAATCTCTCCTCGGCATGGAGTCAGCCCCCCGCTGTCGTTGCAAGTAAATTTGGGCTTTCTGAAGTCTTCATTCAGCTTTGTCGGGGCAGTCCACCGCCCCCTTTGTCTTTCGCAGCCGGGCCTCTATCCACGCTGCTTGTGAGGGCCAGGGGGCTGGATCGATGTCGGGTTTTGACAATGTCAATTGGACCTTTGTGAGCTGGAATCCGGACGTCGATCTGGAGATCCTCACGGTGAGAAAGCTCAAATTGGAGCTGGCTGCGGAGACAGAGAAGCGGGTTGCCGCCGAAGCAAGTTACCAGGTGACGAAGCAAAAGTTGAAAGACGTCGCGCCTTGGCCTGTACAGCCTGAGTCTATATTGTACAATACCCTTTAGTGATAAGCCCCTGCTGCCCATCTGTGATTGGGAGTCATATGCTGGCATCAACACGGGCCCCTTCTTAGCTTCGAAGATGTGTTATGGCAAGTGCTGCTTGCATAGGCAGGCCTGCACGTCCGCTGTCGCGGGTTCTGGGTGCACGCATCATTGCAATGCTAGACTGCTGTTCGAAGCACAGCCAAGGAAGCCCAACTTCAAGCCGCTTTGGCTACAGTCGAGGCGGAACGGAAGCAGAAAGAGACTGCCGAGCAAAAGCTGATCCAGATTCAGGAACGGAAGCCTTCCACTAGTCACGGTGCATGCTGGCAATACGAGATGGGGAATCAGTGGCACCCATTCCCGCCTGAAGGAAATGACCAGATGCTTCAGGCTTACTTGGCATATCTCGACGACAAGCAAGGAAATCGTTGGGCAACCATTGTTGCAGGTGGAGTTGAGCGCGTGGTCGACTTTTATAGGATGACCCAAACACATGCAACTACGCAGAAGGTACGGAGTATTCGCCTCACCACTGGAGTGCCTGTACAGTGGGAAAGTACCTCGGCAGAGCTGTTGATGCAGAGGGACGATGTGAGCGCCTTCTACATCGAGGTACAAGACGCAGTGCTGCTTGATGTCGTCAACCGCCTTCTTCGGTCGACCGGCCATGCCTGGGATGTGTCAACTGTATGCTCTCATATGCAGAAAGCCACTGTGAAATCAGTTCATCGGATCGAAAACTACCAACTTTGGCAGCGGTACCAAGCGAGGCTGCGTGCCATGAGGGAAGACCGTGCCAAGTACAACTTGCATTCGGAGCCTGCAGCTCTTGATCTTGATGGTCGTGAGGGGGTCATGACAGAGAGCCAGAACTACCTTGATTGCGGAGAGCCCTTGTCACTTGACGTGGATGAGAAGATACTGCTGCATGGCACATCATGGTACAACGCCAATTCCATCGTGGAGAACGGCTTTGACCACAGGACGTGCACACGAGGCATGTACGGAGATGGCGTCTATTTTGCATGTGCTGCCTGCAAGAGTCATCAGTACTCATGTGGATACCAGTGCGGCTTTGCCCATACCCCTGCCTGCCATTGCGAGAGGACACTGATCATAGCCCGTGTTGCACTCGGAGATGCTTGCCATACATCCGAAACTCGATATGGAGCAAGGAGGCCTCCCGCAAGAAGTGGTGCAACAGGTACCTATGATTCGGTTGTAGTCAAGCCTGGGCAAATAGCAGGGCATCACAACCCCATCCAGGTTCATCAAGAGTTTGTGATTTTTGATCGTGAACAGGCGTATCCTGCCTTTGTCGTGCAATATTGGCCTTGACACGGTGCAAAGCAAGCCCGCCACTCAGTGACCAAAAAGGTGAATGATTGCGCTTTGCTCTTGCTGCGTGAGAAACCTGTGAATTTGCACTCAGCTTCGATTCCTCTCGCCCCCGCCCTTCTTGCACTGATGGGGCACACAGTACGCGGGACAGCCACTTTGTGTATCGTTGAGAAATTCGTCAGATCCTGGAAAGCGGCGCCTAGCTTTGCATGTAACCCACTCTAATTCAACACCAGTTTTTTGGGTTTTCGGTTGTAAGCACAGCAATCTTGCCATCCCATTATTGTCATTCCTGAGCTTTGTGGAACCCTTTGCACGCCAAATGCCAGCAGACCCAACTCATGGAATCCCCAACCAAGTAACGCACAAGTTCGAAAATAAGCCGCCCCACGGCGAGGCCTGAAACAACACCGCTTTCCGGGCTGAATCCCTGCCACTGCTACTCAGTCTGTGTAAGTTGCCCCCGCTTTGGGTGTCAATGGGAAGATGCGTGACCGCCTTCGAGCGCCAGCATAGAATCATCAGAATGTGGCTTCTATGCAAAGGGTTGGCTCCTCCTGGACTTCCACAAGCACAAGCTACCCCAAACCTCAAACTCCCGACACGAAAGCCCGCTAAGCCCCGCAAGAAAGACTCAGTTGAAAATCGAAACCAGAACCCCCGAGGCCCCCGACCTCATACCGAAAAATGGAACCGCCAAAGTCGCCCGAAGGAAGTTTGCTCCTCTCTCTCCTCAGCGCTCCGGCGTGAACGGGACACCGTCAAGGAGGCCTTCTGCTCCTGCTTAGCAAGCGGTAAGGCTTAAGGCTTAAAGGGCTTCAAGTTTAAAGGACGACATTTTGACATGGCGTTTGTCTTTCACCAGGGTTTCGGGTTTACTCTAGTTGGGTGGAAGTTGTTCAATCGGGGCAGTAGCTTAGTTCACAAGTAGCTCGGCGTTTATAGACCTGATTGAAAGTTTGGGGTTTCGTCTGTTTGGTATTGAGGATTTGTAGGTGTCGAGCTGCTAGTCTAGGTTTAAGAAACGGAACTCCGCTTGCTTGCCCTCCCACGGACAGAGTTCTGCGGATCGCGTTGCAGGTTCCCTCGCGGCACGCTTCGCCACAGAAGCAAGCGAGCTCCAACCCTTGCCGGGCACTTAGTCCCCCGAAGCTGCACGAGCGTGTGAGCGCCTGCACCCACAGACCCTGAAACCTGAAGTCCATCCTTGGTGTTCTCCTTCGTGTTGTTGGGAAGGGCCGAGGAGACGTGGCAGAAAAATAAAGGCCTGAAGCACTGTTTCGTGCATATGTGTGTTTGTGTGTGTATGCATGAGTTAACCAAATTAAACTCAAAGACACAGTGTGAGATTGAGGGTTTGCCTGAGGCTCTGAGTTTCGGGCCGTGAGCCTTGTACCGCTCATGCTCTTGGGCTTGGCTGCGGAATGTGCAGCGTCGTAGGAGCTTCCATCCCCTGATGCTTTTTCAAGTAGGCTGGGCTCTTGTTAGGGGATTTAATTTAAGTTACCATAATAAGTAAGCCATATTATTTACTATATAGATCCCCATTATGGTAACTTAAAAATTAAAATCCCCTAACAAGAACCCAGTAGATGCCGCAGTGGCGACTTGGCATCTCCAATCCAGCTCGATGGCAAAGGCCCTACAGCTCCGGTGAAGGGCCCGGCAGCAGCTGTCGACGAGGCAAGGCTGTGCGACCGGAAAGTCTTCCGAATCAAGACGGCGGAGTTAGATGGGGGTTTCCGAACATAGGGGACCCTAAGATAGTACCCCGAATAGTAGGATCCTTATTACAAGGACCCCAAAATTACGGTACCCTAATTTTCGGAAAGTCCCAGATCACAATTTCAGGCCGTGCTTCTTTTCCGTAGTTGTGAAGGAAGCTGCATTGTGCAACACGCAGCTGGCTCTGCTGTGATTATCCCAAAACCCCAATGAGTAAGCTTCAAACCTTGCCGACCTTGGCTGATGGAGAACACTGTCAACCTTGCAACGTAGACTTGTGCACTGTTCCTGAGCATTCCTTGCTAGAAAAATAGTTTCACAACCTCCGAAACCCTATTCGACGTGCTCAGGCTTTTAAAGCTAAACCTAAACTCCCTGACCCGGCGAACAGGCATCCTGCACCCTTCACCCGACCGATACACTGAAACCAAAGCTAGCCCGGGGTTCCAAGGCCCCGGCTGGGAATCAGGTTGAGCCCACCTGGGGGCCTTCTAACAAAAGGAAGAATTACGGGGAAAAGTATAGAATAGTATTTGTAAGTACTTAGGGCCCTGTATCAGGTAATGGCCTCTGGACGTTTGCATTGGGGTCTTGAAGAAGCCTCGATTATCAGCAGCTCTTGGAAGCATATAGTGTAGTGGGTGCCCGGGTCTTTAGTTGGAGGGTTCGGTTCCTTTAAAGGAGTACGAAAGAGCTTGCCGTAAGGGCTCTATGATATAATGGCCTGAAGCTCAAAAGCAATCTTGCCGTTTGGTTCTTATCACACTCTCGACGGGCGTTCCGAGTTGCGAACACCTTCCTTCGTATCAAGGCCCTTCTGCTACAAGATACGTTGCTACATAATACTATTTTGCTATACTACACAATAGTAGGCTAGACTACAGTACAGGTTATTTTTCATACGGTACTTTACTATGTTATGGAAGCCCCGCTTTTGGGAGGTCCTGGTCAGCTTTCGGGCTACTGCCGAGGCCATGAAGCTTAACGGCCCAAGGCTCAGATGCCTCTTTTTTGGCATGTTTTTTGTTAATATTCTCTTATGGAAAGAAGAAGAATAATAGATATGCCTTATACGTCTAGAATTCGGATTATTCTGACTACTGTTACAACTATTGATCTTCCTATGAGACTTACGGTTATCATTACTGTTGTTATGCTTGCTAGTGGCACTATCATTACCATGATTATCATTATACCAATTACGGCTGTTCTTGCCATGATTACCGCCGACAAGAAAGAGCCCGTCCCGATGACGCGTTCAGTGCAGGCTGCACTTCTAGGGGTTCTAAGTAGACTTCCGGCTCAGGGTTTCCAGACTTTCTAGAGGTCCATCTGTTTAGGGTAAGGGTTTAGGGTTTAGAATAGGGTTTTGGGGTATGTTGTACTACAACTAAAACAAGGCAAGGAACCCTAATAAGGACTACTACTACACCACGCTAAATCCTAAACCGGGCCTCGCAAGTAGGTTCTAACCATGTGACACACCGCGACGTTGCTGCGCCAAGGCATCTATAGACGTCGGACTGACATCCAGGCCACACCCGGCAACCCCAAGACAGGGAGGCTTTAGTATCCCTGCAGTACCCATTATGGAAGCCTACAGTGTCCATGATGGAACCCGTGTAATACCCTGACAGTATCCCATATGAAGACTGGAGACAAACTCCCAGTGTCAGTCGTTGCTTGCGCTTCTGATGTTGGGGGGGAGATGTGTTCCACCTGCTGCTATGACCATGGACTATTGTTGTAAAAAACTGAAAAATGAGGCCAGCAACTCTTCGATCGCAGACCGGTCTTCCCCTTTCCGTTACAAGAGTCAAACCCCAAAGTCCCGAACGTTTACACAAGGCTCCGGCGGACCTGTGATTACAGAGGCGTCTGCGATCATGGCGCACCCACCAAGGGCCCCTCTTCCTGCGGCAGCGAGGGTTCAGGGCCTGCACGCGCATTAACGACACAAAACTCGTCATATTCGATTCTGGTCCGCAGGCCAACGGAAGGCCTGTGTACTGCAACGGTCCGAGCCTGAACTGCTGAAAGGGATATCGCGGTGGCCTTAATGATTCGGACAGGGTTGTGGGACGGACTAAGGCCCTGAGGAAAAATGCTATTGGTAAAATAACAGGCTTCTACAGTTAAGCCGTTTTCATTGCACGCAAACCGCGATGGTATGAGAGCAATGCCAACCATGATGTTGGGCAGCCTGCTTATTCCAGAATCTTGTCGTCGTGCTGGAGATGGTGGCGGATTGTTATTACTGCTGCTTTGGCAGCATCAGCAGCATTAGGAGTACTGTCATGAACGAGGTGATCATGCATTGCATTCTCAGAACACCTCGCCTGACGAGTGGTGGAGACCAACAAACCCGGAATGCGAAGCCCTCTAAGCCCGAAACCATAAAAAGAAACAAGTCCCCAAAACCTGACGAATCTGTACCCTGAACCGCAGACCCTGCATGGACTATGCAGAACAGGCCCCTCACGGATATAGATGCCACATTACAACGGGTCACATACCTGTTGTTGGCTTGAGCTGGATCCCTAGCAAAACCAGGGCACCTTGACCGGTTAGGTCACGACTTGGCGCTCAAGGTTAAAAACCCTGACTACACCCAACCAGAGACAACCCAGGCAACAGACACATCCTCTTTATGTCGGATGGCGCGTGGGCTCGGAGCACGGGTCCTTTACCATCTCGCAGGTACATGATCTGTGTTCCGCCTTTACGGATTGCTGTGGGGGTTGAGAAAATGCTTGGATCCCAATGCAACAACAAACCAAGATCCTTGAAGTGCATCTTCCGCTGCAGGATTTGCAGGGATGACAGGAGTTTCCGACAAAGAAGCATGCTGCAAGCATCATGCACCCTGAACATCACTGAACGTTCGATACACACCATAGGCTACGCAAGACCGGGCAAGTCCGGAATATTTTCTACAAGCCCTCAGACCGAAGAATGAACAGATTTAACAATTTGTTGGTCAAAGCAGTAGCCTTCCTGTTATAACCGAAACGGGCTTTCCCGACCAGGGACGTCCTGGTGACGTGCTCTTTGCAACCTCATGAAGTCTTGTAATGTAGAACCCTTCCAGGCATGATCTAACACAAGTTTGGGACCATGAGAAGGGCCTTGCACAGCCATAGGGCCAAGTCCTTCGAAACTTGAATTCCTACACCCAGACACCAGACAGACCTCAACCTCCGCACCCGCAGTCCTAAAAACCCACAGATCAGAAAGTACTCGACAAGCCTAACCCCCCTGGAGCTCCCAAAGCCACATACCGCAAACCCGGCAGTCCTGAAG